GGTTTCTCTGTGTAGCTTTGGAGCCTGGCCTGGAACTCACTCTGTAGCCCAAGCTGCCCTCGAACTCACAGAGATCCGCCTGCCTCTGCCTCCCGAGTGCTGGGATTAAAGGCGTGCGCCGCCACCCGGCTGACAACCATCTTCTAATGTCACAGTCGAAATCCTGGATCTGGGAGGGAGAGGACCAGATAGGCCCTGTCTGGACCATTCTCCTCTTCCCCCACGAAAAGGATCTGGAAAGAGAAAGGAGAGGCATGAAGATGTTCCTGAGGGGTGTCTAGAGTTAGTTGGCATGCTCCAGGGAGTGGCCGTGAAGCACTGGTGCGCCTCAGTAAACGCAGAGCCACAGTCTATCACGGGAAGCCAGCTGATGGGGTAGAAAGTGCGTCCCCTTTCCCTGCCCTCATTCTCTGCTGTGCTCGGAGCAGCCACTGGACTGGCAGAACTCGTATTTCCGTCCCTGCTCTCTGCCCTCTACCCAAGGGCCTCTTCAGATTCCAGACTGAGGGTTCTAGGGCAGAGATCAATGACCAATGACCTGATTCTTGCAGCTCACTGCCAGTGTGCCTGGCTCTGCGTAGCCTGCAGAAATGGAATGGCGATACGTACTTATAATACCAGCAGTCAGGAGCTGGAAGCAGGGAGATTAGGTGTCCAAACTCATGCTTTCACATAGTTCAAGGTCAGTCTGGGAGACATAGGACCCTTTCTCACAAAAAAGGGAAAACAACAACTCCAAAAAAGCTTCCTTCAAATAAAACCCAACTCTCTTAAGAAAATACCTCTGGGGGCCCCGGAGAGGTGGCTCAGTGGTTAAGAGCACTTGTTGTTCCTGCAGAGGATCCAGGTTCAATTCCCAGCACTGACATGGTGTCTCACAACCACCTGTAACTTCAGTTCTGGGATGCACAGGCATGAATGTTAGCAAAACACTCACACACATAAAATAAAAAAATCCTAAGAAGAGAAAATACATACGATGCCTTCCAGGTAGAAGCTGAAACTACCTGACAGTCTAGAGATCCCCAGATTTTTTATATTTATTTATTTCCCCCTTTGTCTGATTGTTTATTTGCAACAGGGTCTCTTTTAAGTAGTTTTGGCTACCTAGAACTCTCTTTGTAGACCAGGCTACTCACAGAGATCCACCTGTCTCTGTCTTCTAAACCCTGGTGTGTACCACCTTGTCTGGCTTGATGTTTGTTTTTGAGACTGGCTTCACTATATTGGTCAGGATAGTCTAGAACTCGTGGCTCAGATGATCTTCTGACTAGATTCTAGTGTAGGCAAATGCACCACTGTGCCGCCTGACGTGTGTGTGTGTGTGTGTGTGTGTGTGTGTGTGTGTGTGTGTATGTTTCACTTTCTTTTCATTTATTTATTTATAGATTGGGTCTTGCTATGTAGAACTGTGCAGGCTGTACTCCAACTTGTAAGTTTATTGTTTCTGTCTCCAGAGTGCTGGAATTAGAGGTGTACACCACCACTACCCCACACTCCATTACTTAGCTCTTTTTTCCCCAAGCCAGTTTCTGCTGATGATGACGGAGGTATGGTTACAGTGAAGCACTCACACCCGCAGGCAGTCCTGAAGGTCCAGGCTTCATCTATAGTAAGAAGGGCCCCCCTCCCCTCCCCACCAAACAAGCTTACTTCTTCACCACAGCCACCCAGCAGGTGACTCAGGTCATGGTGAGGCCAGGATGTTACCGTTCTTTGCACAGGGTCGTCTCTGTGCTCCACATAGAATCGAGGTGTCGGGCACATAGCTAAGATGTTTGGTGGAAAGTGTCTTCTGGACACGACAGGGCCATGGCACTCACGGACTCACTGCTGCTGTGGTGACCTGCACAAAACCCGAGATCTGATCCATCAATATTTCATACGGGGGTGGGGGAAGGGCTCAGGAGGCTCCACCCTCCCAGAGGGACTATTGGCAGTGAAAGGTCGCTGGAGGGAGGAGTGACCTTTAGTGGTGTAGTTGAAACGTTGCCCATGTTCTAATAAATACCCTCCCCTATGCTCAGGCAAGCAACCCTAACTAATTTCAGTGGGTACAAAAAAAAAAAAAAAAAGACGTGGAAGTAGGGGAGGCTGACTGGGAAGAAAGGTTTCAGCGGGTGACCAAAAGTCATTATATACGTGTGCAGAAAATTTCCCTTCCTCCTCAGTAAATATTTGCTGAATTCGTGGCCAGACGAACGGGGACAGCAACCAGTTCTCACAGAAGCTCTCCAGAGAAGTGGCCCCAACCCGATGAGAATGGGTCGCATCCAAACCACCTGGGGACATGTGTGGCCGTCCTGAGCCCCGCCCCTGAGTGGCAGGCGGACCCCCGTCACGTGTTGGCGGCTAGCCAATCATCCGGGGGGGGGCGGGGCAGACAGAAAAAAAAAGGGGGGGGGTGAGCCTGGCCCAGAGGACTTTCCTGATCGAACTCAGATCATTTCGGGGGGCCTCATGTCGCAAAACGGAGCTGATCCTGAGCAGCGCCCGCAGGCGTCAGAGGCGGACGCCATGGCAGTGACCTTCCGGGCGAGCGGTAATTGCAGGGCGGCCCGGACCCGCTGCGGCGCGGAGCCGAGCCTTCCTTTTTCCGTAGGAAGTTCTGGTCCCAGCGTCAAGGTCGGCACTCCCACCCGAAGTCAGTCAGGGTGGCGGGCCGAGGGAAGGAAGGGCTCGCGGCCATGTGGCACTGCAAGAGCTTAACCCTTTAACGCCCCTCGGTCAGCCTTTAGCTTCTAGAAAGAGTTCTCCGACTGAGCGCCCCCGAGCTTGGGCCGGCTAGGGCATTAGAGCCATTCAGGGAAGAAGAGGGGAGACAGGGAGGTTCATGACCGATCTTCACTGACTGTCCCTAGAGCACCAGCATATTCGCTACAATCCGCTCCAGGATGAGTGGGTGTTAGTGTCGGCCCATCGCATGAAGCGACCCTGGCATGGACAAGTGGAGCCCCAGCTTCTGAAGACAGTGCCCCGCCATGACCCACGCAACCCTCTGTGTCCCGGGGCCACACGAGCCAATGGGGAGGTAAGGCCGAATACCCGCACACACAGCCACCCAGTAGACAGGAGGAAATAGTTCTCCCGTATTGCTGCCCTTCACCCACAAGAGGGAGCGGTGCGCCTCTTTTTGGGGTCATATCCCGTCAAGCAACTGTGATCCCTGGAGTGTGCCTTCCTGGCCTGCTTGCCCCTTGTGTAGGCCTGGACGCCCATCAGGTGGTCGTGTTTCTAGCCCGTTCTTGTCAGTAGGTGAATCCGCACTATGAAGGCACCTTCCTGTTTGACAACGACTTCCCGGCTCTGCAGCCCGATGCTCCGGATCCAGGTACCCTCCAATCTAAGCCGTGTTGGGGAGAAGGGAGACTGGATCTGTCGGGGGACCTTGTGCTGAGAGAGTAACGCTCCTTTATCTCAGGACCCAGTGACCATCCTCTTTTCCGAGCAGAGGCCGCCAGAGGAGTTTGGTAACTATGGGTTTCCCCCTTACAGCCTCCAGCCCAGGGTTGAGGAACTAAGACCTGGACTATCTCTCTGTCTTATCTTCTTCTCTCACCGCCTAGTAAGGTCATGTGCTTCCACCCCTGGTCGGATGTGACGCTGCCACTCATGTCAGTCCCTGAGATCCGAGCTGTCGTCGATGCCTGGGCCTCAGTCACAGAGGAGCTGGGTGCCCAGTACCCTTGGGTGCAGGTCTGTGGGGGGGGAGGTGTAATAACGTTGGTTTGGGGAGTAGCATTACTGCTTCCACAGGGTGTGGTCAGGAGAGGGTTGGCTTGATGTCTTTCGGACTATTAAATCTCTCTACTCACACCCACTAGATCTTTGAAAACAAAGGAGCCATGATGGGCTGTTCTAACCCCCACCCCCACTGCCAGGTAAGTATGTCAGGGACGGCGATGGCTTTCTTGGCTGGGTCCATGCCAACATTGAGGACAGAACTGGATTAAGGGATGGGACAAGAGAGATGCATTAGTAATGTGGAGGCTTAGAGATAACGGACTCGCTTGCTCTTCTTTGTTCTCGCCCCTTGACAGGTTTGGGCCAGCAGTTTCCTGCCCGATATTGTCCAGCGTGAAGAACGGTCTCAGCAGAGCTATCACAGCCAGCATGGAGAGCCTCTATTGTTGGAATATGGCCGCCAAGAGCTCCTCAGGAAGGTGGGAGAGCACCGGGCCCTGTGTCCCCAAGGAGTCTCTAGCCCTTTTACCCTCAAAGCGCACGAAAGAGGCATGGGCTGGTAGCAGTCATCTAAAGGAAGGTAGCTTAGACTAGGCTGGTGCAGAAGCAGAGAGACTCAATCGGATTCCTCTCTTTCCTGATACTTGCCCCCTTCCCCTCTCACATTCACACCTCGTTCCCATGCTGTGTGTCCAGGAACGTCTGGTCCTATCCAGCGAGCACTGGCTGGTCCTGGTCCCCTTCTGGGCAGTGTGGCCTTTCCAGACATTACTGCTGCCCCGGCGGCATGTGCGGCGGCTACCTGAGCTGACCCCTGCTGAACGTGATGGTAAGGATCACAGGTAGGACCCTGGGATTGGGTGCTGGATAGAATGACCAGCACCCGTTCCCAGGCTGACAGTCAGGCCCTGATTCCAGATCTGGCCTCCATCATGAAGAAGCTCTTGACCAAGTATGACAACCTATTTGAGACATCTTTCCCCTACTCCATGGGCTGGCACGGTAAGGCTTTTGGTGGTGGAGCCCCAACACTATTTCTGGGCTTCTAGGTCCTGGCTTAGGAAACTGCAGTCCCTACCAGGCCTTAAACCATCTGGTGGCCTTAAAACAAGTGTCCAGAGCAGGGGTGCTGGCACTGAGGGTGGAGTAATTTGGGGAAACTGTCACCGAGGACCAGCTCCCTGGTGGAAAATACTGGGAACTATAGTATGTAGGTACCTGGTCTAGGTTAGGGGAGGGGCCAGGCTGAAGACTTGCAAAGGGGCCTTCCTGATCATTTCTGTCTTCCTCTTGTCAGGGGCTCCCACGGGATTAAAGACTGGGGCCACCTGTGACCACTGGCAGCTACACGCTCATTACTACCCGCCACTCCTGCGCTCCGCTACTGTCCGGAAGTTCATGGTTGGCTATGAAATGCTTGCCCAGGCTCAGCGGGACCTCACTCCTGAACAGGTCAGGGCTCAGAGCATCCTGGGTCTTCACAGCCCCCTTCACCTCATTTTCTCAAGGGATCCCAACAGTCACGACCCTGAGGACCCTCGTTAAAAAAATATAAGTATTCCTAGGAACTCGGTTGCTGCACAGCTCCGTCCTCCGGTGACTTCAGCTGTCCTTGTCACCAGCCTTCCATCCCATAAGCCCCCCTCAGTATTTCCTGGGCCCAGAACTCCATACCATCCTGGGTCCCTGTCCCCTTCTAGGCTGCAGAGAGATTAAGGGCACTTCCTGAAGTACATTATTGCCTGGCGAAGGAAGACAAGGAAGCCGCAGCCATCGCTTGACCATGATGACAGCAGAGCCTTGAGTCTTTTCGCCTGAGAGACCTGGGACCTGGAGTTTGGGCAGATGTGACATCAATAAAACTGCATCTCAAATGTTAACCATGTTTTTGTGACACCAGAGAAATGTGAACTCTTACATTCTGGAGTCTTGGGGAAAGGCTAAGTGTGACTCCAAACACTCTTTCTTGCCTACAAATGTTCAAGATGTAGGCAAGAAAGATTTGATGCAAGAATTCCTTCCCAAGCGAGACACGATGGTGCATACCTGTAATTCCACCACATTGGAGGCTCAAGTAGGATTGTGAATTTGAGCCAGCTTGGGTTACCTAGCAAGAGCTAGCCTCTGAAACCAATGCCAAGCTGGGCCTAGAGGTGCAGGGCTGTAATCTCAGCGACCTAGGAAGCTGAGGCAGGAGGACTGTAAATTCAAGGCAAGCCTGAATAGCTTAGAGAAACCGTCTTGAGAAATAGCTCAGTGACAGGGTATTTCTCTGACATGTGTGAGACCCTGTGTCCAACCCTTAGTTTGGGAGAAAAAAAAAATTCTACCTCCGATCTCTGAACAATATTCAGTATTGTATTTGATCTTCTTAACTTGTGATATAAACATCATTCTAATTTTGGAGACTATTTTACAAATCTTATGTTCTTAGCTTGGCAGAGTCTTTGGGAAGGCCAGTGCCTTTTGTATCACTGGGTTTATTATTGTCAGTTCATCAAGCCTGGGCCTCAAAGCGTGGTGGGGAGAGGGTGAGGAGAATCCTAGTCCCAAAGGTCAGTCAGTCCAGAGCCGGGCTGCTGGCCAGAAGCCTGGTTTTGTGAGTGGCCACAGCTAGACTCTGCTCCAGACCACAGGGGCTAAAGGGGTGGGTTGGGAGTGTGCATGTGGCTTGGAGTTCTTGGCTGTCTCCAGCTTCTCTGTGTGGTATATGTAGCCTCAGTCCCGTGCCTATGCCCCGGTCGCCGTACAGGGCTCGGCATGGAGAAGACAGCTAGGGGCAGCCCCAGGGACGACGTGATCTTGAGTCTGCCCTCTCCCTTCTGGATCTGTTTTTCCTTGTGATAGTGAACAACAGGCCATTCGATTTATGAGACCAGATGTCACGTGGTATTCTCCAGATTCTAAAGCAAAGTTGAGAGTTGTGAGTGACATGGGGATGGCCAGAATACCTTTCTTCCATTCTTTTCCACGGGAACTGAGTCTTAGGGTTGAGAGGTCATACCAAACCTGGGCGAGTGACTGGGCCTGACCTAGAAGAACCCAAGCTTCCTCTTCCTGCCTTCCTACCTAGGGCCATTCCTCCTGAGACTTTGGAGGGATGAGGGGGGTGCCTGGGATTGGGAATATTGCCGGGGTCTAGAAATTCAGACGAAGTAGGCATCTCCCTTGAGGCTCCCTGAGTAGGTGGCTAGTTTTAGGGCATACATAAACATGCACACCTAGCCTTGCCTGTATTTGGAATCGCTTGAGGGGTTTTAGAAACAGTATTGGGATCTAGATGCAATGGACAAGGATTGTGATTTAACCCGGCATGGGATGGAGCCTTTCTGTTTTAAAAGTTCAGTACTCCAAAGTCTGAGAACTAGACCAACCCTCCGTTTTCCTATCTTATCGGGAGTCAGGGGCACCTTCACCGAATGCAGTCAGCTGCCCAGTGGTTCAGCAGGGAACCCGAGGCTGTGTGGACAGCTGGGAAGGGACGAGCCTGAGCACTTTGAGGCCTGCTGTCCCGGGGAGGGCAGGCCTTCAGGAGAGGTATGAGGCATGCACCCTCAGGTTTGGTCCTAGGAATCCTCCTCAGGCACCCTCCTCCTAAGTTCCAGACGGGACAGGAAGTGTCCGGAGGAGGTGGAAGTGATTGGCAGTTGGAGGCTCCAATGGGCCGAGAGCCCCCCCTGTTCACCTCTCTCGTTCCATTGGCGCCTGGAGGAGCCGCCCCGACTGCGGGAGTCCAGCGAAGGAGGAGGGAGTAGAGGCCGGGGCAGAGGGCGAGGGTGGAGGGCGCTGGCGGCGGCAGCCGCGGAAGGTGAGGCCTGCTGGGACCCGGGTGTAGACTCCCGAGTCCTGCCAAGAGGGGGCGGGGCCGGGCGGTGTGTGATCTGAAAGGCAGGGAGTGACTGATGGGCTATGAGTGTGTCTGTGTGAGTTCGAGGCAGTGTCCGTGTGTGGCGATGTCAGTGTGTGAGGCTCTGAAACTGGTGTCACCGGGCGTTATCTGTCAGTGAGCGTGACTGCGTTTGAGAGTGTCATTGTAGCTGGGTCTGCTTGTGGCACAGCATCTGTGGGAACGCGTCTGTCGGTGGGCAATTGCTGTGTTTGTTCGTGAGAGCGGCAGGGACCACACCAGGGAGTGTGTCTTGGGAAGCTCCGTGGGGGTCTTAGACTTTGTCTGCCAGTGTGAGAGTGGATGGCCGGGTTTTTGTGTGATAATGTGTGACTTCAGAGGCAGAAGAGCAAGAGCGAGCCTTGTGACGGTGGTGTGGTGTACTATCCCCTAGCCTAGGCGGTGTGTGAGTGAAGCTGTGTTCTTATATTCCGGGAAACTTCAGTTGTTCGGGGAGGCTGACTTCTACCCAGGCTGCGGCATAGACAGATCCACCCCCATTGCACATGGCTCTCCTTCTTCCTCTGCTCAAGATTTGCGGGGGGCTGAGAATGCAGCTCAGTCAGAGAGGGCCTGGCTAGTGTGAGCCAGGGCCTGGGTTCCATCTCCAGTGCTGAAAGAGTCAAGTCCCATCGCTGGTCCACTGCTCTTATTTGAGACAGGGCCACATGCATCCTAAGCCTCTGGATTGCTGGCATTACAGGTGCGGCACATCTGTTTTTATAAGTGCTGGGCATCGAACCTAGGGTTTTGTGCATGTTAGGCAAGCTCTGCCGCTTGAGCTCCATTCCTAGGCCCCTGGTCTCGTGCTGTTTCTGTTTTCATGCCTGACTCCGTTTCTTTACATTTCTTCCTCTGTCCCCATGATTATCTTCCTGGGGAGTTTTTATCTCGCTCACAGCTTTTTCTCCCAGGTGTCTCGAGTCTCTGCTTTTCTAGTTCTGACGGCCAGCTGTCTCTCAGTTTCCCTATGCTTGGTTTCCCCGTTTACTCTTGTTCCTGGCCACACAAGGGCTTGTAACCTTGACCCAATGCTGATCTGTCACCAAGAGCTCCTTTGAGTTCCCTATGGCGAGCAGTCGCTTTTAGGGAGCACTGCGAACTCCATGCACCCCCTCATACATAACGTGTATGCCTTTGTGTCAGAGGGACCACTCGTAGACTGAGATGTGTAAATGTGTCTGGGTCTGAGTGTCTCAGGGTGACGACTGTGAGTGACTGTATCTAAGAATATGAGTCTGAGGGCAGCTGTGACTCCAGTGTATCTGGCACCAAGGGATCAAAGGCATTTCCTGGTGCTGAGGCCCAACGGGTGGAGGGGAGAATAGAAATGGCTGGAACTTCCAGGGAAGGGGGGAACTGGACTCTGGCCTTTCCTTATATTCTCCAGTGTGAGGCCTGCTTTCCCCCTGGAAACACAGCCAGCTGTGCGCGCAGGGAACATTTGTTGGAGAATGGAAAGAATAGGAATGAGTGTGTGTGTGTGGTGTATGTTAATTTTTTTATTGTGCCCACATGTGTTCAAGTGAATATCCTTGTGTTAGTTAACTGTATCCAGCGAGCCCCTGAGTAGCTATGGTTTTGGTGGTTCTTCTGGCGACAGGGATAGAGGCAGAAGCAACCCTCCTCTCCCTCTTGCTGGTCCTGGCTGTGTCTCTGGCTTCCTTTTCCAGCTTGAGGGGGGCGGCCTCTTCCCTTCCCAGGCCCTGGGGTGGGAGGGGAGGAGAGAGGAGGGAAGGAGGGGTGGGAGGAGGGGGCCTGGCTAGGGGTGGCTAAGCTCAAGGCCCCGAGGGGGCGGGGCAGAGAATGGGAAGGAGGGGGTGGTTCTGGGGTCCCAGGACTGAGTGGAGACAGTGCTGTAGCCTGTAGGAGGAAGCCGTGGAGGCCATGGACACCCAGCCACTGTGATTATCGAGGTAGGGCGAGGCTGAGCAGGGTGAATGGGGCTGGGGACCCCGAGGGTGGGCCAGCAAGACATTCAGGGTGACACAGATATGTGAGGGCCTCATTCTGTTTTACTCTGGAGGGGTCTTCTGGCTCTGACTAAGGCCTTGCCCTCTGCCCCTTCCTTCTACCTCCAATCTGCTGCTGGATCTCCAACCCAGAGTCCTTTCTCTCAGCACCGCGCTCCTTCCCTGCATGCACATTTCTCAGACTTTGAGTTCCTGCTGCTCCCAATCCGGACCTCTTTCACTCTGGCCCCCACTGCCGTAGTCCTGATCACTCCCCCCCTCCTACTGCTGTGGCCCCCACACCAGGCGCCCCGCTCCTGCAGGCTCCCAGCTTCCCCTCCCTTCTCCGCCACCCTGTCTCCATCTCCATCTGCTGGCTCCTCGCCTGCTCTCAGCCTCTGGCAGCAGCCAGGGCATCTGGATCCGCTTAATTCTGCAGCCCCAGCCTGCACCCTAGTTCTATCCAGCCTCGCAGGCTTGAGACCAACACGATTCCAAGCCAGGCCCATCTCAGTGGCCCAAGTACTAGAGTAAGAAGCCAGGCCCAGGCCAGAGGCTTGGCCGCCAGAGCATGCTAGGCCTCATGTTGCGATTATAGGGCACATTTGGACCCATCATGCCAGCTCCCTATCTTAGGGTGATGAGGTCTCATCTCATTATTTGCTGTATGTTGGCCAGAGGCAGTAATTAGCCTTGGTCAGGTTGGTGGCGAATGCCAGAATTCCCAGCAGCTGGATTGTATGGGTTAACGGGAGTGGCTGAGCCAGTGCCAGGCCTTGGTGCCAGGGGTGGGTGCCAAAGGTGATGTGTATGTGTGTGTATGTGTGTGGGGGGATGCTGGCATAGTCTGTTGCCTCTGGCTTTTGTTCTGGGCCCTAAGCCCAGGACTGAGATGAAGTGTGTGTGTGTGTGTGTGTGTGTGTGTGTGTGTGTGACACACACACACACACACACACACACACACGGACAAATATATATTGCACTGGGTATATGGTGGAAAGGGGACTTCAGGTTGGAGTCCTCAGTCATTTCCAATAGCTTCATTTCTCCTGATGCTTCAGTTTTCCTTAAGGAAGCCCCAGCTTTGGAGAGGATGAGCCAGGCTCCTAGCTCATCGATGGGCAACTCTTAAGTCTCCTTTTCCCCCACAGATGAGCAGCAGCTGCTCAGGGCTGAGCAGGGTCCTGGTGGCTGTGGCTGCAGCCCTGGTGTCTTCCTCCTCCCCCTGCCCCCAGGCCTGGGGTCCTCCAGGTAAGAAAATGCCACTCTGGGACACCCTTAGGAGACTTGCTATTCTCACTCTGGCCCATTCCTGTGGCCTAATCTCCCCACCATTTCTGACAGCCTGGGTCCCTTCTCTATCTGGTCCCCTGATCCCCATCATGCTTTGACACAGCGACCCCCTCCCCCACACCCAGGGCTTAGCAGCTTGCCCCTCACCCTACCAGTCTCATAAATGGGAGGGGGGTACAAAAGAAGGCTTCACCTCAGGAATGCCCTTCACAGGGGTCCAGTATGGGCAGCCTGGCAGGTCCGTGATGCTCTGTTGTCCTGGAGTGAATGCTGGGTAAGTGTTCACCTACCTGCTAATCTCATACTCATGATTCTTTCTTGACCCTGTCCAGACCTCACGTTCCCTCCTAACTTGCTTCTTCTGGCCACGATCCTTGCCTCTCTGTCCTACCCCTCTGCCTGTTCTTATTCAGTAGAAAATTCAGCCAGTGTTGGGGTGTCGCTTAGAGTGCTTGACTGGCATGTATAAGGCCTTGGGCTTGATACCTAGTATCAAAAAATCATCAATTAGTTAACTAGCCAGTATGTTAGAGTGCCTGCTAAGTGCCTGGTCTGTTGTCGGCTCTGAGGTAACATCAGGATGCACGTCCTCAAGAGCTTTCATCCTGGTAGGGAAGACAGTAAGCACTCAAGAATCTTGCTGGGTCAAAAAGCAGCAGCCACGCACGCACGCACGCACGCACGCACGCACAGGTTAGAGTAGATGCACTCCTGACCCAGGCAACAGCTTGCGAAAATGCCCTGAGGTGGGAATGGCCTCAGTAAGGAGGAGCAGAGAGAAAGAATGTGGCCTGTGGGGAAGGAAGGGCGAGAGGATGAAGGAAAAGAAGGCAAAAGCGAGACCACAAGGGCCTTTCTAAAGGGCAGGGAATTGGGGTTCAGTCTCTTCCTTTTTGTTTTTATTTTATTACTTAATCTATTTCTTTTGATACCTGGGAGTGGTCTGGAGCTTGCTATGTAGCCCAGACTGGCCTTAAACTCAAGAGCCTCCTCCTCCAGCCTCCTGGGATGATAGGCATGCACCCACACCAGGCATGGGATAGTGGTTTATTGCAAGTGTGCTCAGAAGCTCTTGGAGAACAGTTGCATGGCCTGACTCAGTCTCTCCCTTTCATCACTTCATCTCGCCTTCAGGACCCCAGTGTCCTGGTTTCGGGATGGGGAGCCGAGGCTGCTTCAGGGACCCGACTCTGGACTAGGACACAGACTGGTCTTGGCCCACGTGGACAGCACTGACGAGGGCACTTACATCTGCCAGACCCTGGATGGTGCATCTGGGGGCATGGTGACCCTGAAGCTGGGCTGTGAGTTAGGGAAGGTGGCAGTGAGGAGCCATCGGATTCCCAAGGGAGCCTGGGACCTGAGCAGGCCCTCTGGGGTAGGGAGGAGCTAGGGATGCCTCAGTCTTCAGCTGTACCCTCTGTCTCCAGTTCCCCCAGCTCGTCCTGAGGTTTCCTGCCAGGCGGTAGACTATGAAAACTTCTCCTGTACGTGGAGTCCCGGCCAGGTCAGCGGTCTGCCCACCCGCTATCTTACCTCCTACAGGTATGTGTACCTGTGCAACGGGGGATGCCGGCGTGGTGTGGGTGTGGCGGGCAGGGAGGGAAGTTCTGACAAATTTCCAGAGAAGGCAGGGGGCCCTCTTTTCCTCCTGACCTCAGATGACACCCTTTCTGTCAGGAAGAAGACCCTGCCAGGAGCTGAGAGTCAGAGGTAAGACAGAGAGAGAGACACTGGGGACCCTAACTTGTGACTTATTTGCAAAACCCAAGACCATATCCTCCCTCCTAGGGAAAGTTCATCCACAGGGCCTTGGCCGTGCCCACAGGACCCTCTAGAGGCTTTCCGATGTGTGGTCCACGGGGCAGAGTTCTGGAGTGAGTACCGGATCAATGTGACTGAGGTGAACCCACTGGGTGCCAGCACGTGCCTTCTGGATGTGAGGTTACAGAGCATCTGTGAGTACCCCAACCCCTGGCCTCCTTCCAGAGTCCCGTCACAGAGACTCCAGACAGACTCACAACCCCCCCCTTGCCCCAACTTCCAACTAGCCCTCTCCTTTTCATACGTAAAGACCAAGTAGTCACAGAGATGGGTTCTGTACGCATTCTAGAGCAGTGGTTCTCAACCTCTGGGGGCCACATATCAGATGTCCTGAATATCAGATATTTACATTATGATCCTTAGCAGTAGCAAAATTACGGGTATGAAGTAGCAGTGAAAATAATTTTATGGTTGGGGGATCTCCACAACATGAGGAACTGTGTTAAAGGATCACAGCACTGGGAAGGCTGAGAACCACTGTCTAGAGGCTTCTGCCACTACCCACAAGTCCTTGGCTGCTCTGCTGACTCCTGCTTCTAGGCCCCATGCTGAAGGCAGCCCAGTCTCATGCTCTCCCTGTCCAGGGGAAAGGCTTGCTGGCCCCTTTTCCTTCTTGATCTGAGTGTGGGAGGGGAGAAGGCAGTCACACTTAGGTTGGAATTTGGGTCAGTGAATCTTCTGTGGATGATAAGTTTTGTATCACTCAAACTCATCAAAATCCTGCTATTGGATTGCTGCTTATTTTATAGCAAGGATGAGAGACAGGTCCTGAGGCTGAGTGATGGAATTGGACATTTCCCCTCCCGCTGGGAGGTGTCTGACTAAAGCACTTTTACGTACATGCTGCGCACACCGCGCACGCACACCGTGCACACACCACGCATACCACGCACACACCGCGCTCATACCGCACACACGGCACACACTGCACACACCGCGCACACTGTGGGGAGTGGTGAGGAAGGGAGGAGTTCCTGTCACTTACCCTGGACTTTGTGTCTGGCTGTGCTTAGTGCGCCCTGACCCACCCCAGGGACTGCGGGTGGAATCAGTACCTGGTTACCCGAGACGCCTGCACGCCAGCTGGACATACCCTGCCTCCTGGCGCCGCCAACCCCACTTCCTGCTCAAGTTCCGGTTACAATACCGTCCAGCGCAGCATCCAGCCTGGTCCACGGTGAGGTCTGCAGTGTGTCTCAATCTTGATCTTCCCGTTCTGTCTCTGGTTCTGAGATCTTGAATGTTCTGCATAGCTTCCAGGCGTTGACTGGTCTCTGAAGACCCAATTTCCTCCTATATAGTGTTCCCAGGTGTCCTTTCTGGCTGGGGCTGGGCAGGTTCTCTACTTACAACTTAGACCACACCCTGAGAAACCATTTTTACCTCCAGGTCGAGCCCATCGGCTTGGAGGAGGTGATAACAGATGCCGTGGCTGGGCTGCCCCATGCGGTACGAGTCAGTGCCAGGGACTTCCTGGATGCTGGGACCTGGAGTGCCTGGAGCCCAGAGGCCTGGGGTACTCCTAGCACTGGTGAGAGACAAGGACGAAGAAAAGGCAGAGCCCTTACCCTAAAGCAACTGTCAACCAGACGGTTTGACACACACCTTGCTTCGGTCTTCTGGGCACTGCTATTACTGTCCTACACTGTAGCCCTGATGGCCTGCAGCCCTACCCTGACCTTAGCCCCGAGTCCACTTCTGCACTTGGAGACTATGTCTGCAAGTCTACAAGGCAGATCCCAGAAACTGGCCACACCCTTTGAAACTGCCTCTTAGGCCCCCACCTCAAGGGTTCTAGCTAGTCCTGCCCCTGCCTTAGGAAGGCAGAAGCTTCTCTGTACACTCCTCAGGTTTCATCTTCCTTCAGGTCCCCTACAGAATGAGATACCTGATGGGAGCCAGGTACACAAACAGCAGCAAGAGGCAGCAGCCGCTCAAGAGGACGGCCCCACCCCTCCAAGGCCTTCCCTGCAGTCAGACCCAAGGCCACTTGGTAAGTTTGGGCCGATGGGGGAAGGTGTGTGGAAGATGGAAATCCTAGAGAGACCATATCACCAAGCATGGCGGCTAACATGCTCTCCCAGTGACGCCCGGCCTTCTCCCTCAGATCACAAGGACCCCTTGGAGCAAGTGGCTGTGTTAGCATCTTTGGGAATCTTCTCTTTCCTTGGCCTTGCTGTTGGAGCCCTGGCTCTGGGGCTCTGGTAAGTGAGTGCCACTGGTTCCTTAGCTGCAACCCTCAACAGCTGCTTTGATGCCCAGAGACCACATCCATTCCCACCCGCAGGGCCTCCTGTTGACGGCCTGCTGGACCTGCCTGGTCAGAACCCCTCTTCCCACCTGACTGCTCCCCCTCCTGACTTTCACTAGCCCCTCACCCCTTGCTAATATATATCCTCTTGGAGGAGATGTGTGGCTGGGGAAACAGCTGCCTTTTTATCTCCAGGCTGAGGCTGAGACGGGGTGGCAAAGATGGACCTCAAAAACCTGGGTTCTTGGAACCAATGATTCCAGTGGACAAGCTTCCAGGTGAGTAGCACTTAGTAATGTAGGCCCCCACTTGAGTGTCTGGCTTAAGAACCTGATGCCCCAGTGATTTTATGTACCGGGATCACGGGAGTTGGGGCTCCTCGTTTTTATATCTAGATGAGGGGGAGAAGGGGTAGACCTTCCACTCTTGAGTACCTGGTCTCAGAAATGGGTCTCTTCCCTCTTGGAGTATTGGGAATCCCAGGTAGCTCCCTTCATTTTCAAGGTGTTAGAACTGGATCTTGTCCCCTCCCCCTTAAATGTCTTGGATAAATGCTTGCTCCTCTCGCTGATTTGAAGAAATTAAATTGTATTATTACTGTGTTATGTATGTGTATGATATGTGTGTGCAGGCACATATGTGCCATGGCACATGTCTGGAGGTCAGAGGACCGTGTGGAGTTCTTTCCACCTTCATGTGGGTCCCAGGGATTGAACTCAGGCTTGCTTGGCACATGCTTTACCCACTGAGCATCTTGCTCCCCACCCCCTAGGCCCAGAGCTATGTCTACTTCCTTATCTTTAGGGTGCTAGGGCTCCCTCACAAGTGGGCCCCTCCGTTCCTCCTCAGAGTGTTTGGATTAGGAATGCTCCCCTTTCATTCTCAAAGGCTGTCTGGACCTAGTCCTGCTGTCACATGACTTGCTCCCTGCTCTTCTAGGCATCCCAAACCTGCAGAGGACCCAGGAGAACTTCAGCTGATCCCACCTGTAACCCTGTCAGGCTGGGGTGCTTAAATGGGCAGGCAGAGAGAGGCAGGGCAATGGATCCCCATGGATGGAGGTCTCGGAAGTTTGAAGCCCTTTTCTTTGAGACCGTATATTCCAAACGTACTGCCAGCTCAATGCTGTCTGAACTTCTGATGTCATCCTTGAGGTGGAAGTCCACTTGAGGAATGTGTATAGATGTGTGTGTCTGTGTCCATCTGTGACTGTGTGTATGTGAGATAAGGGACATACATTCTCTGTATGTGTGTATATAGATGCTTGGAGAGTGTGTGCAGACCTTGGCCTTGGCCCTTGTGGGGACTGTGAAGAGTTGAAATAAAGAGACTGAAGAAGTTTTTGGAGATTACTGTCTAATGCTGTTTTATTAGCTTTGCTGTTGGGGGCTCGAATACATTTTCATTTGTAGTTCCAGCTTTAAGTTGGGTAGTCCTCTGGACCCTTTTCCCATGGCGCTCAAACCACCGGGCCAGGCTACGGTTCTGAGGATGAACACAAACACTGCGCCGAGCCAGGTGAAGCCTGGAAAGGGAAAAATCCAAAGCTATGCCCAGATTTAGGGGATGAGCTTAGGTAGGGTTCAGGGGTGGGGGGCAAGAGCCAGATGAAAATTGAGTAGGCACCAGAATTAGCATTGGGGCTGGGATTGGGATGAGTATGAGGTGTTCTGACGGAGGCAGTGAGAGGTATCGAGGTTGGGGGCAGAGCTCACACAATAGCCTGAAGGTGACAGTCCCCATCTGCCTCCTGCAGTTCAACGTGGATGATCTTCCTCAGGAGCTTGTTCGGGAGCGGTTGTCTATAGAGCTGAGTACAGCAGGTAGTGCTGGAGGGCAGTGGCAAGGCTGTAGAACAATAAGGCCGTGTCTTCAGAAACGTCTAGACCCGCGGCTGCTCTATTAGATACCTGGAAGTGGAACTTTCTGGGCCCCGTCCCTTCTAGTCCATCCACTCATCATCCTGTACCCTCCAAGAACTTACCTGCTCCAGGGTCCGGGCTCAGAAGCAACAATATCAACAGGAGGCTGCTGGTGGGTGAGAGCCCCTCCATGCCGCTCAGCCTAGATACTTCTTTCTTTCTCCTCCTCACCCTACCTTTTATCTAGTTGCGTTTTGCCTGGGGCACTAGGTGAGTCAGAGACAGGCGGCAATACCTTGCTTATCTTGTGATACTGAGCTCTAACTCTTGGCCTGCTGTCACTGACCCCATCCCTTCTAAGACTGCCATTTCCCATGGGCTCCCAAGCCCTGAACACAGAACACTGAAGAGAGGTAGTGAATGGTGTAGGGGCAGACGTTACAGTGGCTTAGGACAGCCACGATTCACTGGGCATCTGCTAATAGGCATTTATACTCATACCCATAGCCACACATTCATAAGTCATACGTTGGTCACGTAACCCCATAAAGTCACACCCATGACTGTATAATCATAGACAAAATCATACAGCTCCAGTTATACCCCAAAGTCCCACTGCCATGCATTTTCACTTCCACAATCATCCCTCTGTACTATCATATACTACAGACATACTCTGACGGAAGAGTTTATGGGGGAGGAACAGAAGCTAGCACTAACCTGTCTTCATCTTCTCCCTACTCCCTGCCCTGGCCTGCCTATGTTATCAGGAGAAATTGATGGGACTGGGTCCCTACAACAGACTCTTCTTGGCTAAGGGGGGAAGTGTGGTGGATAAGGAGGAGAAACACAAGCTCTTTGATGCCTGATGGCTGACGTTAAAACAGGTGAAAGGGGGTGGGGTACCGTGGCACATGTCTTTATTCCCAGCATTTGGGAGGCAGAAGCAGATCAATTTCTCTGAGTTTGAGGCTAGCCTGGTCTACACAGTGAGTTCTAGGCCAGCTGGGCTACATGGTGAGACCCTGTCTCAACAAACAAACCAACGTCCCAGAAAATGATAAAGGCCCTCTCCCAAATCTCACCTTCTTGCTTCTCCTTAGTCTTGTTCCACGGATGCCAGCTTGTCAGTGGGAGCCTGGGGGTTTCCAGACATAGTCTCTGGCTTGTTGGAGACATCAGACTCAAGAGCTAAGTTAGGTCTCTTTTGATTCAAATTCCATCCTCTTTACACTCTGGGCTCGAAGGAACATACCTCTCCCAACCCAGGTTCAGAAATCCCCATTTTCCCAAACTCTGAGCACCCCATCTACTTTTCCCTTCTTTCTCTTCCATGCAAAATTCCTACTCATCTTGAGCCAACTCTTTCTGGAAAGCTGTGAAATGCTGGGGGGGGGGGCATGCTTGTTGGGTTAATGGCTCGGACTCCTAACCCGGGAATGTCAGTTTTCAAGTCCTGTTCTGGATTTGAAATATAAACTGAGCCACAACCCTAAGAACCCATCTCTTATCCATACGTTGTCCTTTCTGCTAAGAGGCCAGTCTCTGTAGACAAGCTCTTGGGGTGGGGCTGCCACTGGCTCTGGGCAGCTCGCTCTGCTACAGCCAGGTGACACTCCAAACCTTGCTCCCTCCTGACAAGGGTGCCACCCAAAGACCCTTCTGGACATTGTCTCAGAAGTCTTCTGACTGTCTGGGAGGATGTGGCCCAGGGCTAGACAAAGCATTTGATGTAGACACTGAGGAAATGGCTAAAAGTTTGCACACTTAAGTATTTGAAAGTAACCACAACCCAGGGGCCACTCATCCGGAACTTTTGGTACCCGAGGCTCCAGTGTTTCTAGAACTCTTACTCCCTGTCTAGACATTTGTCCCAAGGCTTGGGTGTAGCACCAAAGAGAGAGACAGAGACAGACTGACAGAGAGGAGAGAGAGATAGAGAGACAGATAGATAGATTCTGAGGAAATCCCCCAAGTTGTATCATCTTGCCCTATATGTTTTGTTAACTAGTTGCCTGCCATTTGTGAGCTCTCCTGACTTGTCAATAATCCAGAGATCTTTGGAAGGCAGAGACGTTTTCCTGGCTGTGTACCCATCTCTCCTTTTTTGGCTTCTCCAAAGATAGGAAGGCCAAGTCTTCTTTCCCAGAACAATCTGCTATGCCGGGGCAGTGCCAGGCTAAAAGGAGCTTTGGGCTCAGCCAGAATCCAGGCTGTCTCCATAACTTAATCATGGGTGTCTTTCCTGGTGCTGGAGTTGGCGTCTATGAGGAGGTGAGGGGAGCAGCCTGACTGTGGCCACTGTAAGAGTTGGTTCCAGAGAGATTTGGGTTGGATAAAAAGGGGCAGCAGGGCTCTTCTAGGGATGCCAAGGATCTTTAAATCTGGGATCAGGGGCTGGCAAGAAGGCCATGGTGCCAAGCCTGAGGACCCGTGTTAGACCCCTGCAACCCATACGGTAGAAAAAGAGAACGGACCCCCACAAGCTGTCCTCTGACCTCTGCATGCCCGTGCACTGTGGTGGACACACACACACACTCGTAATAAAAAATAAATAAAAAACAAAAAACTAGGCTCGGCCTGGAGGAGTCGGTTTGGGGTTTTAGCTCTAGGAAAGGCCTTGGACCCTTAACCCTTGTCACTCTCCTGAGGTAGACTGCTAGAGGCAGCTTCTAGGAACTGGTCCCTCCTCTCGCTGACAGCTGACTCTGTAACTTTGGCTAAAGTGCTTTAGATCCACTCCCAGGAAGAGAAGATTCTTCAGGCACTTGGCAAAGTTCCGGTTAGAGGAAGGCAGTAACAGCTGGAGTTGTGGGAACATTGATAAGTGGCGGAAATATGTGGCCTACTGTGTAGGTGCTTTTGGGGGAGGGTGTGGCGGGGTGGCAGGGAGCCAGTCACTGGTAGTAATTGGAAACCTGACGATAATTGGGGGCCCTTGGGAGCAACGGAGGCCTTGGCATGCAAGGGCATCCTACCAGGGAGGGACGCCCTGCGAGTAAGAAAACAGCAGGTGTGGCCTGGGATTCCCAGCGCCCGTGGCGGCTGCGGCGGTAAAGTCAGGAAGGCAGTGGGCGTGACTTTAAATCTTTAATGCACCGGCTGTCTGTGCAGCGGCGGTGGGAGTGCGACAGAGGAGACCACGACCCGAGCGCTGGGGAGCAGGCCTCAGGCCGCTCGACAAACAGCTCATTAGGCCCCGCAGAGGCTCCAGCTTCTGCTCCCGGGGGTGCGCCGAGCTGTAGGGCGACCCGACAATGACATCAGGCGGGGGGGGGGGGGCAGGGGCTCCTGAACTCCCCCACATGCGTCCTCCGACACTGAACCTGGTCCACGCCCCCGCGAGACCGCAGCCCCCTCACCTCCGCTCCCTGCGCCACATTCGCAGCCAAGGAAAAAAGTAGAAGCAGCCCCAGTAGATCCTGCAAAGAGAAGGCAGAGCCGGGCCGGGAGGGGCGGGGCTGACCCACAGACCCCACCCCTGGAACCGCGCCCGCCGGCAAGCCCCGCCCCCGGGGGGCTGGACCTCAGCAGCCCACGCCCCACCAGGGCCCGCTCCGCCCGCCCCAGGACGCGCTCCTTCCCCCACCCCCGGCCTCATATCCCTCCCCCGCACCTCCCGCCTCCACTCACTCCTCCTCCGCTTCCAGCGCCACCTCGTATCTCCTCAATCGCGACATGTCCCGGGCTCCGAACGGTTCCTGGGGAGCAGCATGATACGAACACTTATTCCCAGCCGCAAGTCCCCTTCTCCATCCTTCCTAGGACGGGTCTGAATCGTCCTCAGGGACTCTGAGGCAGGTGGCCCCCCGCAAGCCAATGGCCACATCGGGACAGGATGGGATGATGATATGGTAGTCACTGGAAGTTAAGGCGTTAGAAGGACGGTTATCTAGGGACCCGGGCGTGGAGTCGTCCAGGAGAGCGGTCTGGCAGCAGTGGGGCTGGGTCATTTAGGGCCCTGGATGAAGATTTTTCAGGGGCTGGAGTCACCTGAAGGGGGGCTCAGGGGTCGGCACAGCCTAAACTCCCCGCCCTCCCTGGCTCCGCCCCGGAAACGGACCGTTAACAATTACATCACAGGGATACCTTCGCACTCTAGGGGTGTGGCTTGCGTATCACCCGGAAGGGGAGGAGCCAGTTCTTCGTCGGAGGAGGCGGGTTCAAAATGTGGCGCTGAGTAGGGGCCCTGTGTTTTGTCACTGAAGGGGCGTAGTCAGGAGTTTATTAAGATGCTGGATACGCAGGACCCTCTTTCCTAGGGACGGAGTCGGATTTTAGAGTTCCACACGTTGGTAGACTGTGGCCTTGGCACGAGGCCGCAGTAAATGCTTTGGGGCTCTCCTCACTGTGTCTCTCCCCCACCTCCCCGCCCCGCACCCCCACTTTGCTGACTTTGACCCTGTCAATTGTTTTTCTTGCTTGCCCAGTTCTTGAATGACCTCAGGACAGAAGGAATAGACCCCCAGGGAGAACACAGCCTAG